TCTGTGCGCGCTGTTTGGGGCAATGATTGGACTGAGCTATGAGGTGCGCGCAATGACTTTTAGACTTCTCATGGAAATTATTGCAAAATCATCCTGGGCTATCCCCTACTAAAGGTTACTTAGGGAATTACTGGAATTAACTGAAGCTACGGCTTAAGGGGGAAGCGGAATCATGATTTCCCAGATATGGGATATGAGGCTCCCTGGGAACCTTGAACCGTTCTAAGCTCTAAACCCTCGAGCCCTAAAGCCAATCCTGAAACCAACCCTCCCAAACAAAAACTCAAGCCCTAAAACCTTAACCCTAAATCCCCTAAACCCTAAACCCTAAACCCTTAACCCTAAACCCTTAACCCTAAATCCCCTAAACCCTAAACCCTAAACCCTTAACCCTAAACCCTTAACCCTAAATCCCCTAACCCTATACCCTTAACCCTTAAATCCCCTAAATCCACTAAACCCTAAACCCCCTTAACCCTTTAAATCCCCACTATAGTGGGCTATATGCGTGGTTGTCAAAATTATTTTCCCCATTAGGGTAATATTAGGGTTTTATTGGGGTTATATGGGGGATAATGGAAAGAAAATGGAAACTACTACAATGGGTTATGTGCCCACCCTCCAAAGTCCGACTCCACGCGGAAAGTTTAGGGGCCTCTAAATTTCACCGATCATAAGGACCCAACAGGCCCCGAGCACATCCTAAAGCCATGTCAGAGACATTCCCCGACATTGCACGGCAGGCAAAATAGTTTCTACAACAAATGAAAAAAGAACTACCATGGTATCTAAATGGAACAGAAACTGATTGACACTACCAAAATGGAGAATTAAATGATGCTATACTAACTCCCCTCGATGCCAGGATGCTTGATCTCGGTCTCGCGGCGGCGCTTGAAGGTCTCAACGTTGCCTCGCTTGCAACTCCCAGCTTCAGGACGGGCACTTAAAAGGTGTGTGTGGCGATTCATGGTGCGGTCGAGTACCTGCCCCAATACTTATGAGGTGCTTGCCCCGCACCATTAGAGCTGAAGTCCAAGCAACTGAAGGCTGAAGTTCAATCTCACCGTGCTACCCTAGAGCCGGCTGCAGAGAACCCTAAACCCTAAAACATGAACCGCGTGAGAACTTCACTCCTGAAAGGTTCTTAACAGCCCCAGCATCTAACCCCAAGAACTAATTTCAAGCCCCTGGTTTTTTAGGGAATGATCGTCTAAAAATGGCCGACGACATTTTCTCCTCCAAAATCAAGTCTTGCCGTCACATCAACCTTGAGCCTTAAGTCATATGGGTACTGCCCCCACCCAGTAACAGTCTATATTAGGCGTCCTATTAAGGGCTATATATAACCATATTATAATTATTATCCAACTGTTACTGAGTGGGGGCAGTACCCAACATAAAGCCTAAACCCTCGCCCTAAACCTAAACCCCTTCCGCCCATGCATTTTCCCGAAGCCGAGCGGCCATCGCGAGTGTATCCAACAGGATCCTTGGATTGCATACTAGAGTATATTAGGGGTCCGTTTAAAGGGGTTATAGACAAAGTCCCTATAGTAGTTTCCATTTTATTTTCCATTATTCCCTATATAACCCCAATATACCCCCTATATAACCCCTTTAAAGGCAAGAGGCGCTCTCTTCACAAGCCCAAGAAGCTTGACGTCTATCCTGCGGCCCCAAAGTCGTTGGTTCCCCTAATACTGTAGTTTCCTAGGACCTATAATAAAAACAACATTTTTAATATTCCCTTAGGGTTATACTTTAATCAGAATTTAAAATAATTCCTAAGGACAGCACAGAATACCCCCCCCCAAGCCCAATCAACCCTAAACCCTCAACAAACCCACGACCCAAAGCTCCAGACCTTCTCATAGGCATCTTAAGTAAGGCCAGATTTCGTCCATGGACGAAATTGCAATTCCTGAACCTCGACCTCAACATCACCTTAATCGCCTACACCACACGCAAACTCTGAATCCTAAACCCTAAAATCATAAATCCTAAGCCCTAAACCCCAAATGCCAAATGCTAAACCCTAAATCCCCAATCCCTAAACCCAACATCCCTAAACCCTAAACCCTAAATCCCTCAGCCAAAAATCCCAAACCCTAAGCCCTTCAATTCCTCAATCATAAATCCCAAACCCTAAAGCCCTAAACCCTTGAATTCAAGGCAAGGAGCCCAGAAGCCCACCGGGGCCTGGACACCCAGCTCCTCCTGAAACAGCTGCGCAGGTAGCTTTATGTTGGGGGTCAGGGTTTAGGGTTTAGGGGTTTAGGGTTTAGGGGTTCAGGGTTTGGGGGTTTAGGGTTTAGGGCATAATGGAAAGAAAATGGAAACTACTATTTAGGGTTTAGGGTTTGTACCCAGAGCCCAATACCCCTTAATTAAGGAAGATACCCTAAATGGTACTAGGTCCCGAATATGATTCAACTTAATTAAGGGGTATTGGGGTAAGTAAGGGTTTGGGGGCTCACAAAGGCATAGTTGCTTACGGTGAGGTTAACAGCTACGCAGGGTTCATGTAGGGAAACCCTAAACCCTAAATAGGTCTAGAAGCCTCTCAAGATTGTGACGATTGTGACTCTCTACAGCCAGAGCGGGCACCAAGTGATGTAGGTTGCAACTGGAGGCCCTCGTCCGAAATGATCACCAACCTTTGAGCCTATACCCTGGACCTTACTCCCCCAAATAGACCCTCAACCTTGTACTCTTAAAGCCTCCAGCCTGCCCTAAGCCCTCAACCCTCATCTAAACAGGCTCTAAACCCGAAACCCTGAACCCTCAAGCCCTAAACCTCAACCCAACTCCCCTATAGACCCTGGAGGCCCAGAGTGGCCTCGAATGCCCGCAGAGGGGAGGCAGTGTAGTTGGCCCAGTCACCTGGTTTAAGGGCTTTAGAGTTTTTAAGTGTTTAAATGTGTTTTGTTGATGTTTGGGATATTTAAGCCTGTGTTTTTAGGGTTTGTGTATTTTTAGGATTTAGAGTTTTTAGGGTTCAGGGCTTTTAGGGAAATAACGCGGAAGATACCCCCCATAGGGCTTCCAAACAATTAGGGGTGCCATTTTAGGGGTCTCATCAGTCGGGATTCGAGTATTTGGGGGTCTATATATTGGGATCATATAAGGTAGGAGTCAAGTGTCAAAAGCCGAATAAACCCTACTCAGCTTACGATCACGCTTCAAACGGGGTGGTAGTTTCGGGGATGTAAACGGATAACCGCACCCCGACATGCACTCTACAAAGTATCACAACATCCCCTGGGCACCAGCCGGAGTGCCCGGCGCAGTGGCTTCAAACCAACCGAAGCTCCTTAAGATTGGCCCTTCATCCGAGGATGTTTGCAGTGTGACTTCTGCTTCCACCTTGAGCCGCGGGCTCCCTTAGCCCTTAATAACACCGTTTCATATTGCCGAAGATCTGGCTTCGTGGATCTCAACCTCTTCAACCCTAGCCTGAGCTACGCCAACGCAGCCTCCTAACACCCAAACTCATGGATTCCCCTACCCCACCCCCCCTGTTCTACCCATGGTGAGTAGCCTGACCTGAAGTAGCCCTCGTTCTGGATAGTAAGAGAACCCACAGTAAGTCCTAAACTATACATCCCAAAGGCCAGACTCCCAAACCCTAAACCCTAAACCCAATTTCACGGAAACTCCATCATCCAGAAACGTCATTGCCGGAGAGTGGCCCCAGGCAGAGCCAGTAAGGCCATCCTGACAGCAGAGCCACTACCCCAGTGTAAGGGTTTACGGTTTGGGTCTTAAGCTTGGGCTCTACCCTGAACCCTAAACCCTGAACCCTAAACCCTAGCCCTAAACTCAAGTGGTTGTTGTTATGGCCTAGGCTTTCTGATGGGGATTAGGTGCTGTTGCACATCCCTTTTGCGTCGGCAGAATGCTTTACTCAGAGAGCCCAATACCCTTTATTTAAGGAATATAACCAAGAATATCTAGGGATTCTGTAGGGATTATATAGGGATGATATGGGGTTATATAGGGATTATATGAGGAATGTAGCCTACATGGTACAAGGGTCCCTAATATGAATTAAGCTATGGCTACATGCCTTAATTAAGGGGTATTGGGCTCCCTGGGTACAGCATGGTTTGCAGCTGTAGCGACACCGAAAAACCCTCCAGGCTCGAGGGTTCAGGGTACATTGCTCATGGCTTCGGGAAGTCTGATAGGGGCTCAGAGTTTTTAGGCTTAGGCTATTGACATAGAACCTAAAAAGGGATCTACAAAGACTACTGTCCCTTGAGCTGAGAAGGAGATCTTGGGGCTAGCTCGGGGAGCTTCATTTGGGGCTACAGTAGCGGGCACAACCTTGGCGGTTTGCGTCAGGATGACGGCCAAAAGGTATAGGGTTTCAGCTTGATAGTGATGGGCTTAGGGTGGAGGGCGTAGGGAATGTTTCATGGTTCGGTATTTGGGGGGTAGTGGGATCAGAGGCTCAGGTGCGGGGTGTAGTTGTTGCAGCTCAGTATTAATGCTATCACCCATACAGTAGTGTGCTAATGTGCAAGTTGTTGACTTCTTCCGGCAGAATTATTGTCGCTGCACTGTGAGGCAGCAAAGCCGATACTTGTAACTCCAAACCACTGAACCTGCTCGACAAATAAAGCTATCAAACACCTTCACTTGGGAGACAAGATTAGGTTTCAGCTCAGCTTGACAGTGCCGACAGACTACATCCTATGTTTAAACCTTTCGGAAATCTACGCGTCGTACAGCGCCACACCACCTGCGCAACATCAGCCATAATCTAAAATTCCGCAGGATGTGAAACCTGAACTGCCCTGTAAGCAAAATCTAGCAGCTAGTAGACCACAGCGGAAGTTCCCTACTTGGGTTGTTTCGAAATTATGGGTCCCTTTTGGTTATAGATTATGCTACGGCACCTAATATTTTGGGGTACCAAAATTCGATCCTGATTTTGGGAACTACCCACTTAACACCTGGTTCTTGGGAAGCTGGCATGCACTAACGAGCGCCTGGAAAAACATGCCGATGATCGCCATCATTGCCAGCCGTCCGTTGGCCAACCTGCTATTCCAAGGGCTTGGGAGGGCCCCAACCCTGGGCAGACATCCTCAACCCTGTCTTAGGTTTGCTTCAATAATGAAATCTAATTTTCTACACAAAAGGACCTCCCAGCCTAAATGCTTTACAAGCCTTGAATGCGCTGGATTAGGGCCAGGGTCCACAACTGCCTAAACACCCCACCCTTAAAATTCCGTCCTGAACCCCGAGTGCTACACCCACAAACCCTTGACCCCAAACCCTTGTGGACCCAAATCTCAGCCAGCACAAGACCCCAAAGCTCATGAATGTTCTTGTTGAGTTCGAAAGAGGACTACAATGACTGCAACCGAGTACTTTGCAAACAGACCCCAACCCCTGAACCCCTAAAACCCTTAACCCTAAAGCCCTAAAACCTGAAACCCTAAAACCCCAAAACCCTAGAACTCTAAAGCCCTAAAAAACCCTACAACCCTATAGCCCTAAACCTTTATTTCAAGCCCCAAGCCCTTTTTTACCAGTTGAGAGACTCAGCGTTCAACTTCTTCTTGCGGACCTCGGGATCCTGGCAAGTTGAGGAAAGGATTTAGGGTTTAAGGTTATAGGGTTTTACGGTTTAGGGCTTAGGGCTGAGGGTTTAGGGCCCAGGGCTTCGGGCTAGGGATTATATAGGGGTTATATAGGGGTTATGTAGGGACAATGGAGAACAAAATGGAAACTACTGTGTAGGGATCCTGCCAAGTGAGGGAAGGATGCCATTCTGGGCTGCTGATAAGGAACTTAACTTAGGTTACTACTCGTATTGGGGTTTAGGGCATATCACCCCATAGTGGAGAATCAGATGGAAAAGAAAACAAAAAAAAACATGAAAAGATGGTGAATATAGCGATTTGATTTAAGGAACCTAATTTAAGTTACTATTTTGGGGAAACCCTATGATTTACTAGATATACTCATTATGGTAAGTTAATTTAAGTTCCTTAACAGCAACCCAGCTCTGGCCAAAACTCTTGACCTGGAAGTTTTCCACACGGTTAATGGTTTAGGGTTTAGGGGGTTCCAGACCCGAAACCCCAAACTCCACACCCTTAACCCCAAACCGAAAAAGCAAAGACCAATACCCACACACAAGGTCCTGGAAGCCGGTGTTCATGATACCGACAGACCTGAAGCATGACGAGCGACATGACTGGCTAATAATTAGGGTTTAAGGTTTTGGGTAAGCCCAAACAGAACTAAAAGGGATTTTAGTGAAGGATCTGATTCTGACGTGAAAATGGGGTACAGACTTTCGAACAACCAAGTTGCGGGGGGTATCCAAGTGATCACCCACATGCTGAATCTTGTGAGGTTCGCATACCAACTAACCTGAACCAAAGAACGCACAGCCACACCCTAAAGCCCCACCAGGCGCTACATGCCAAACTCCTGGTCCTCGGGCAAAATTACTACCCCTTAGCCCAACGTAAGCCTAGTTTCCATAATCCCTTTAAGGCCCTGGCCTCAGACCCAAAAAGCCAGCACCGTAGTTGCCGGGCTCACCGCTGACCTGTTCGTTGTAGACCTTGGGCCACAACGGATGGGATAGCTCTGACATGTATGAGTCTCCCTTGCAGGTTTTGATGGGACACGCACAAAGGGAGTCTAGGGAGGTAGAGATTTGAAAGGCGTAAGCCTTCGAGTTTCTGAAGATCCGTCCCAACACAGGGGCTGTATGAAACTCATGTAACGTAGGTACAGCGTGGTCAGGAGATCCCACAAAGCTCTCATCCAACCCCGAACCGCACTGAATGGTCCACCCAAAATCCATCGAAATCCCATGACCGCTGTGCAAGCCCCAAACCAAGAAACCCGAATCGTGAAATCCGAACTTCTCTGAAACCGGGCGAGCATTTCAGGAGACCTATCAGGCTCCACAGCTTCATAACGCACCCTGACACCCTACAAAAGCCTGAAACATCTCAACCGAATGCCCAAGAGGCAGAAGTCAAAATTCTTCGGCACCAACCCTACAGTCCCCCTTAAGTAGATAGAATATGGCTTTGGGTACAATATAATAAGATCCCCATATACCCCATATTCTATATACTTAAGGGGGACTATACACTCAAACCTGTAATACCGCACGACACCTGGAGCTTGAAGAGTCTGAGGGCATTCATCTGACTGAACAGTAGACTACTCAACAAAAGGTCCAGATCAGCTGGGCGGACTTTCCACTGTAAGCCCAATAAGTCCTACAGCAACCGGAGAATTTTAGGTTGCTGTAGGAATTTAAAACCAATGTCCTAAACCCCAGACCAAGATCCCAAACCTGAGCCCCACAACCCTCCTGAGTAGGGTTTTTTGCTAAGTGGTTGAAACTAGTAAGATAAAATTCCTTACATAAAATACTATACCCCAAATGGAAGATATAATCTTTCTCTATATTGAGGGTACCATCGTATCCCCAGATAAAACTCTACTCTCCCTAAACTCTAAACCCTAAACCCAGCTACTCTCCTGTCTTCTTGGAGCCAACCAGGTCCCCGCGGCCTGCACCTCGATGATGCCGGCAAAGCCGACGATCTGGAGCCAGCCGAAGGCAGGGACCTCCGGGGCTTTGAGGCTTTAGGGCTTTAAGAGTTTAGGGTTTAGGGTTTATAGGGTTCACAGCTTGAGATTATAGTCCCCCTAAGTAGATAGAATATGGGGTAGATTGTTGGGGTTACATAGGGATAATGGAGAAGAAAATGGAAACTACTATAATGGGTTTGGGATTATAGTAACCCTTAAGTAGATAGACTATGGGGTAACACTAGGGTATGTTGGGGCAATATAGGGACAATGGAAATAAAATGGAAGCTACTATTTAGGGTTTGGGGTTTAGGGTATATGGGGTTCTTATTATAATGAACCCAAAACCATATTCTATGTACTTAAGGGGGACTATATACAAGGGTTGGGGCTTAGGGTTTAGTGGATCTAGGGTTCTGAGTTTAGGGTTCAGGGGGCAAGGGCTTGGGGTGTAGGGTTTCAGGGTTCGGGGGTTTCAGGTTTGGGCCGGGCTTGCGGCCAGGGGTCCTTTTGGAACTGCTCACATCCCTACGGAAGCCTCTGAACAACCCTGGCCTTGAATGGGGCAGAATCCTTGCTTAATCTCAACCCTTGAACTCAAAACCGAAACCCCTGAAACCCAAAACCAAACAATCTGAGCAGGATCCGGGTGGGATCTTGGGGGTATACTGTGCTTACTAGAATTACATGCGGGTTATGAAGGGAATGATATCCTCTACATTATGGATGCCCCGCAGCCCTAGACCCTAACCCCCTTGAGCAAAAGTCCTAGCCTTGGACAGGGCGGCCAGGCCGTTGGGGACGTCAGCGAACTTGATGTCCAGGTACTTGGAGAGGTATCCGGGGAACCTTCAAACCATCTTGGGGTTGGGGGGTTGGGATCTTGTAGGATTTGGGGTTTAATATACCTCCAAGGCTTTGGGGTTGAGGGCGTTAGGCAAGTGGAGGGTTTGGGGTTTAGGTTTAGGGATTCACAAGCAAGGGGTTTAGGGTATCCAGAAAAAAACTGCGCGACTGCCTGGGTTTGGGAGCTTAGGATAGCGAAGTGTAAAAGCCCAAACAATTGGGATACTTACCCGGGTACATGATAATTATGGTGATTCTACGAAGATAACGAAGGACGATCTCCCTGGTCGGTCAGACTTCTAAAGCCGGGGCTTGAGGTTTGGCGGCGATTATAGCGCTCAAATTGCAGGTTACGATACAGGCACACTGAGGATATGGAAATCTGGAGCTAGACTTTACAGAGCGCTTATGATGATGATCTGGGTCAAGGTTTCGGGGGCCCATGGTGAGTTATGTATATACATATATATAGATATAGTTTTCATACCCTCTGAATATGATCCCTGTATCAGGAAAAAAGTTCTGGAAGGGGATCCCCTCAAAGCTAGCTCTAATCCCACCCTTAACCATAGAGGAGCAAAAGAGCCATAGTCTAAACTCCTTTAAAAGGGGATATACAGGGGATTACATAGGGGTGTACTATAAATTTCATTAAGTGGGGTCCTAGGAGTTTAGACGATAGCTCATATTAAGCCTAAATGCCTCCGGGGAGGGGTCATCGTCACTTTCAAGTTGGGTTCTACCCACCAGCATCTGGGTTGTAAATAGACTTGTACCATTTCTACGGTTTAGGCTATACCCTAACTTGAATTCACCCAGAACCTTGGACTAACACTAACATTCTTATCACCACCATTGCTGAATACTCCCCTATATAGTCCCCTATATAACCCCCTTTAAGGAGTTTAGACTACAGTACACATGACCGCTGCTCTGACATGTAACTGCGGCTACTAAGGGCGAAGCAGTACAAGCCAGATAAGCCATAGTCTAAACTGCTTAAAGGGGGCTATACGGGGGATTATATAGGGAACTACTCTAGGGGTTATCCGGGGGGATACTAGGAGTTTTGCCTATAGCTCAGATAAAGTGCGAGTGCGCAGGTTTAGAGCAGGGCGGCAGGACTACAACCAGGCGTCGCCGTCAATATTATTGGACCCAGGGAGCCCAGTTACCCCTTAATTAAGGAATCTAGCTTAAAACCTACTTCCCGAGTACCACTTAAGGTATACTCCGCAATTAAGGAGTATTGGGCTCTCTGGGGACCTGAGCAACGTTGTGAACCCTAAACCCTAAACCCCTAAACCCGAAAACCTAAACCAAGGTATAAGCTGGCTTAGGGCTTCGGGCTACGGCGCCTCCAGTACTCCGGCAGGATGTAGCCAATGGTGGCGAACATGCAAACCTCATTTGAGCTATTAGGGTTTAGGGTAAACTCCTTGAAGGGGGTTATATAGGGGATTATGTAGGGGATTATAAGAAGGGTTTTCAAGGGAGGATACTAGTAGTTTAGACTATAGCTTTTTGGCGTCTGGTTTGGCCCAGAACATCTTCCCCGAGCCAAAACTTTCAAACTAAAAATGTCGGGTGAAAGAGAACTGCCAAGGGACACGTCCGTGCTTCAGCTCCACCTCACGGCGGCGGTTGAAGTCCTGGGTTGAACATGTTTAGGGTTTAGGGTTTAGCGTTCATGTTGGCCAAAAGACTTCCAAAGCATTAATGTAGCGCGGGATGCTATCGCTCCTAGGCTTTAGGGTTTAGACCCCGCAAATAAAAAATCAAATGGAAAGCCAAATAGAAAACGAAATGGAAACTGGGAGTACATAGGGGTGTTTAGGGATACTTATCCACATTATGTCCACGCACGGCTCCCCACCCGCTGACTCATAATTCTTCTCAGAGCACCATATTTGCATATATGTATCAGTATGTATCAATATGTAGAAAACATAGGATGGTCATCGTCTTTGCTTTGGGGGTGGGGCTGCCAGCTATTCTATAATTTGGTTGCCCCTTGCGAGGCTCATGCAATTGCAATAAGGCATTACACCCATTTTGCGGGGCGGTGGGCCATCGTACCCCTAAACCCTAAACCCGAAACCCTGAACCCTAAGCCCAAACCCTAAGCCCTGAAACTGGCAAGGACATGACTGAAAAAATGAGCCCCAACAGGCACAGCCTTGCTTTACCAGTAAGCTCATGTCAGGCAGTTCAGGGTTTATATAGGGTTTAGGGTTTAAGGGCTTCGGGCTTGCGAATTGGGGATGATGGGACTTACGGTTTAGGATTTCGGTGGTTAGCGTTAGGGTTTAGGGTTTAGGCCTTTGAGACCAAAAAAAGGCTGGTAGTAACTTCAAAGGAAGGAACCCGACCGTCCGGCCCGAAGCTCCAAACCCATAGAAACACAACAACAACCCTACCTCACGCCACAGGGCACCCTACATGCCATGTGCTTAGGCTGTCCATAATTATATATGTATATTTATATACCCATATAAACTCTGAACTACCTCCAGCCCTAAACCCAAAATCCCCAACCTCCCCAAAAAATGTCGCTGTGCTACGAAGACGTTGCCGTCCGCAGAGAGGCCGAGGGGGTCCCAAAATCCCACAGGAGGCTGGACCTAGGCTTGGGAACCCTGAACCCTAAACCCTAATCCGTAAACCCCAAACCCTAAAACCTAGGCTTGGGGTTGAAGATTTGTCTAGCTTTGCGGCTTGGACTTGTGGAATTAGGCTTAGGATTTAGAAGTTGGGCATATTGAGCTATTGCCTCTTGAGTCCATGGAGAGCGGCTGGCATTGATGCGCTAAGGACTTTGCATGCGGAAGTTGAGGTTCAAGGCACCATGGACCATGGGCTGGAATTGGCTGGAATAAACTTGAACTTTTGACTCTCCGGTTGTTGAAGCGTTTTTTGGGTCAGGACGTACGCATGCGCTAGAGTCGAAGGTTCTCATACCAACTCATAGAGGCTCCAAGCCCATCAACGAAGCCTAATCCCTAAACCCGAATCCCCAAGTAGTAGTTTCCAGCTTATTTTCCATTATCCCAATACAGCCCAATATGTCCGCCATATATCCACTTAAGCTTCATGCTCGTGCACCAACCCTTCTGCCCCGTTTTAAGCGGGGAATCATCACGCAGCTCAAACCCCAAACGCGAAATCCTGAACCCTGGACCCTACCAGTATATGGGAGGTTCCCAAAATTAGGGGTACCCTTTTGGCGGTCCCCATAATAAGGATTATAATATATTGGGGTCTATATTGGGGTCCCCTCATTTTGGGAAACTATCATATCTCAGGCCTACACCCTAAACCTGCAGCCCGAATTCTGGACCCCCAACCAAGTGTGGCCATGCAACGCCGGTCTGGTCCTCGAAGGCACGGAGTGGGGAGTCCGTGTAGAGTGCCCAGTCACCCCAGGCAGAGCCTTTCATATGAAGGTTTCTGTTTAGGGATAGCGCTTCGGATATGGCAGTTTCTCATTTCTGTTAAGCTTTCTCTTTGCGAGTCCCGGTAATGAAGACTCTGATGTCTTGGGCGATACCGTTTCGCAAACCATTTGAGGAATCTACAAAAAATATACTGAGCAGGGAATAGAACGAATTATGTAGGATCCTGAAAACTTTCAAACAGCATAGTGAGAGCTCCACATGGAGCCTTCGAGAGCAAGGACATGACGGCTGCAACAGCAGCGCTGACTTGGAGGGTCATGGGGACATAGCAAGCGGGATAATAATGGGGATAACTGGGGTCATTATATTGCGTTTAAGGGTTGTAAGTATACTTACCAAGTCCCCCTGACCCGCAAGTAGGAGTTCTGTGAGGACAATTTGGCGGTTGAGTCGCATGCTGCGGAGGTCAGGACCCGTAGCTAAAGATTCACTATGCTCGACTTCCGAAAATCTCTTCGCAAGGATGCGTAAACTTCATCTCATGCTTTCCTATAGCTCATGCGCTTGCCGGGTCACCGGTGAGTCCATCTTGGAAGAACATGCCAATGATGGCCATCCTGGGATTCTTATACGACTTGGAGTTTGGGACCCAGAGTTCAGGGCTTAGGGTTTTGAACTCAGGTCGTTTAGGACTCGGAGGGTTGAGGGGTGATGAGTTGCTTCATAATTATAGCGCGAAAGACATATGCACAAGCTGCAATGTCACGGCATCACACTGCTCAACTGCTATCTTCATCACCTCACGTGCGTACATACAACACGCAAACCGCAGTAATTCTACTCCCAGGGGCATCGCCAGTCTTCCGTTCGCAATCTCGGCGCTCAACCTTGCGTTGTTCTTGCTATTTCTCTTGTTTTCCATGGGTTGGGGCACTGTGCTTTCATTTAAACTTTGTCGCCGAGAGTTGGACCCTAAACCCTAAACAGTAAACCTAGACCGCCCCGAAAGCCTAAACCCCTGAATCCGAAACCCCTGACCCCAAACACCCTCATTCCTGCACCTCTCCCTTTCCATGTCATTTTCCACTTGATTCATCATCAGGGTAGTACCCTGAACCCTAAATAGTTGTTTCCACCTTCTTCTTCATTATCCGTCCATGTGAACCTTATAGAACCAATGAGATACCAGAGCCAGGCGACTTCTTCTTGAGCACCTCGGGGTCCGGGGATGTGATGGGCTTCCAGCCATAAGCACCTGCAGGCAAAGGCTGGGTATGGAAGAGACAATGAAAACTATTGTAGTGTGTTGTGTGTTTCAAGTTTAAGATTTAGGGTTTAGAGTTTAGGGTTAAGAGTTTAAGGGTGCAGGGTCCTGTGGACTTAGTAAGTGGGCTAATCATCGGGATGAATGGCATTATTGCATGGCTTATGTGGGTTGTACATCTACTTACTAAGTCCTGCTGACCCTTCAAGTAAGGTGTATTAAGCAACATGGCTGCTATGTGATATAGGAACTCTCAGAGAGCAGACCCCTCAACCCTATATAACCCATTGTCTTTGCCATTATCCCTATACAACCTCATAACCCCTATACCTCAACCCTCTGGGCTCCGCCCTACAGATGGTAAAGATCCCCAGGTAGCAGTCCCCATAAACCCTAAAACCCTAAACCCAGGTAGCAGTCCCCATAACCCCTTCCTCTAATTCGAGGCACAAGTTGAAGACTCTTAGCGCTCAGAGGTCTCCAACTCAAGGCTTCAGGAACTTGGAGCTTCAGCATCTGGGTTTTGGGGGATTTGGTGGTTTTGGGGTCTTGAGGTTTAGGATTTAGGGTTTAGGGTTTCTGGTTTAGGGTTTAGGGGATCTACCGCCACGAGCCCCTAAGCTCATGTACCAACAGCCACAGACCTTAGTCCCCATTATACTGCCAATCTCCCAAAATCAACAAGGCTTGGTATGTTCCGCATCGTCCACTAGGATCCTTCTTGCAGATATATGTAGGCTTAGGATTTCCCCCAAACAAAACAGGACTGATCCCTGACGCGGACCCAGATGTGTGATGCCACGTTGTTGACCTCTAGCCCACCATTAAACCCTAAACCCTAAACTGCCCTGAGCTTTTCAACACCAAGCCTGAAACCAAACCTAGAACCCCTAGGGTTTAGGGTTTAGCGTACCCTGAACCCCAAACTGTATAAATCCCATATGAGCCCTGGACTAAATTTGTAGTATATCCCTCTATAGGTCCCCCCAAAACCCCATGTAGTTCCCTATAGGTCCCCCCAACCTAAATTTAGTCCGTAGCTCATATCCTAATCCTCGAATCCCAGCCTGGGGTTCCAGTGTACTTGTACACGAAGAGCTCGTAGTAACCGGCGAAAGCCACGATCTGTGCCCAGCCCGCACCAGGCACCTCATTTAGAGTTTAGGCTAAGTACTTCCTGAACACCCGGCTCTGTACTATCCCCTCTTTTGCGCTAACCCCTGATTATCCTTAACTATCCTTCAATACGGGTTGTCTGGGGATAATATTCGTATAGTCCTCCTTAAGTAGATAGAATATGAGGTATATGGGGATCTTATTATAATATACCCAAAGATTCCATCTACTTAAGGGGGACTATAATTCTTCAAACTTCTACATCTCTCGGGCCTTGGAGATGGCAGCCAGGCCGTTTGGCACGTCGGTGAACTTGATGCCCAGGGAGGGCGACAGGAAGCCTCCCAGAACGCACGGGTGATTAGCAGGATGGTTTCTAGGGAATGGACGAACAACTAGATATAATTTAGGTTTCAGCATTTCTGGTGTGAAGGGGGTAGTTGAGAACGGAAAAGAAAATGAAACATACTTCATGGCCTGAGCGTGTAGGGTAACGGAAAAGAAAATGGAAACCACCCTGAACCTGAAGCCTGAACGGCAAATAATGTCCAAGACACTATTTGGGGTATAGACTCAGGGGTTTCATAAGGATTTGAATGGAGGAATGGAACCTTATGGCCTCATGGCAGTCCCTATGTAACCACCCGAGATTGATCACCGCGTTCATTCCATCACTTCCCTACTAATCTAGACCCCACATGAATAGACTGAATAGACCCCCTCCTTTTAAGGGCCTTGACATTGGGGTCCCGATTATAATCCGTATTAAGGGGACGGGGTTTAGTAATCAAAGCGACGCCGCATAAGAGAAAGCCTCATGGGCTTGGGATAACAAGCCTTGAGTTGGAGTTTCGAAGATTAGCCTGAAATCCTTAAAGGGGGGTTATATAGGGGATTTTAAACTCCTTGAAAGGGGGGTTACATAGGGATTATATGGGGTATAAGGTTTAGGATTTAGGGTTTATGGTCTAAACTCTTAAAAGGGGGCTATATAAGGGATTATATAGGAAAGTACTACAGGGATCTACAGGGGTTATTGAGGGGGAAACTAGGCGTTTAGACCTTATCGGGTTCAGGCTTCGAAGGAGTTGGGGGCGTGCACGCCGCGTTCCGGTGAACGTTTGATTTGATGACACGTCTGGGACGAAGGGGCCGAGTTCATCAAACTTACCTCTATAGCATCCTTTGGTCAGATGACGCAGCTGCGTCAGCAGGCCAGAAGCAATCCTAGTGACTAAGAAGAAGTTTCTGCAGAGCAAGTTTGCCACGCACTTTAGGGTTTTCGGTTTAGGGTTTGGCGTCTAGGGTTGAGGGTTTAGGGTTGAGGGTTTTGGGTTGAGGAGGTCAAGATTCAAGACAGGCGTTGCCTGGCCACTTGAAGTACTCCGGCACGATGTAGCCTCGAAGGTCAGGGTTCCCTAGAAGGGGGTTTGCTGTAATTAGGGGTACCGTTTTGGGGGTCCCCATAATAAGGACTGTAGTATTTTGAGTTCTATATCGGGGAACTACTTTTAGACCCCATACACATCACTCTGCAGATCTTGCGAACACCTGTAAACCGCGAAAAAATCACCTTTTTGAAGCAACCACAGAAGGAAATGGTGGGAACTCTGAAGGAAACTTTAATGGTCGTTAGTAGGGAGCGCAGTCATGGAACCTGGGAGTAGTCCTTATCATCTCTGGGTTTAGGGTTTAGGGATTAAGGTTTAGGATTCAGGGTTCAGGGTTTAGGGTTTAGGGTCCCTACATACTGTTCCCTCAGTCCCAACTACTTCAACGCTGTGGAGAATTCAGGCCACACATCGCAATCATTATCACCATCTTCCTTATCTTCCTTTTGATCACTTCCGCAGCAGCAATGTACTAAGTCTAGAGAATCCATTCTGTAGGGTTTGAGGCTTCGCGTTTTAAGGCAGTTGTTGCTATCTGGAAGTATCAGAAAGCAGAGAAATGCTAACAAAGACGGACATGAAGAAATGAAAGAAATGAGCTAATCAAACCTGCCCGGAAGTGCCAGACCATGAAGGACAAATTGCACGTGGGAATGCTGACACACCTGGAAGCACAAAGACTAAAGCCAGAACCCTGAACGAACGGCACCACCCATCTAAACAATTGCAACCTGCCTCCACACGCAAAAGATACAGGCGTCTGCTTCAAAACGTTCACGATACGTAGGGGTACAGGAGAATTGCGGGTGGTCTTCTACCACTAGCACTACAGACTTTCCTAAGTTTTCCAGCCCCTTACACCCGATAAACTGTTGGGGCCAGGCTCTCAACTCCAAGCAGTCAACACAATATGGAAGTTTCCCTGACCCCAACATAGACCCCAACATACGAGAATCCTTATTATAGGGACCCCCAAAAAGTACCGCTTTTTTGTCAGGCCCTTGTATGGACGATTGATTGATTCTTAGCCATGGGCGCCCCCTCTCCTTGAATGCTAGGACGCTCTTCGCAGAGCCACAGAAAGCCATAAAATGGAAGCCTAAACCCTAAAGCCTAAACCCCTGAACCCTAAACCGCTACACCCTAAAGCCTAAGCCCCTAAACCCTAAACCCAACTTCCAACCAGAAGGTTTGGCAGTGGAGCCCATGGTGGCGTACATGGCGACGCGGCCGTGCCTAGGTTGCATCCAGGATCGAGGTTCAACAGGCCCCATCAAAGGCATCTACATAGAACCCCGAAGGTCGTGTAAAGACTATGACTATGGTCCTCTTAACAGGAGTACGTACATACATACATATACACATACATACATACATACATACATACATGGATGGATGGGTTTCCATCCTTGTTTGGGAGGGTCAGGCCCCAAGGGCGCGGCGTATGTGGCTTGAATCAGGTTGTCGATTTCAACAAGCTCTTAGATGAACACTCTCACTGCGTCAGATACATAATTCTTGAGTGTCAAAGGACCCTTGGGTTGCCCAACCAGGGGCTGATCCCTAGACAAGCTTTTTCCGGGTCCACCTGTGAATGTTGAGAAGTGAACCTAGGTCTCCGAAATCCTAACCCTAAAAACCCCAAGGCCAACAACCCCTGAACCCCGAGACGATCAATCCTGAGCCCTCAACTCCCAAATCCCCTCAAACCCTAATCAAACCCCAGACGCTAAGCCCCGAAACACATGAACCCCTGTACCCTAGTCCGTGGGCTTTGGGCAGCCAGGGCACTTGATCTCCGTCTCGCGGCGGCGCTTGAAGGTCTCAACATTGCCTCGCTTAGGA